CTGCTGGGCTCCCCATCCAGGTGAAGCTCAGCTTGTCCGAAGAATCCAGGAGTGGGCTCTGTGTCGGCAGCTGGCAGTGGCCTTGAGGCCAGCCCGAGGATCTGCCCTCACCCCTATGCACCGGGAAACCCACTCTTTTCCTACGTGCTTGTGGAGTGCCTCCAGCCATGCCTTTGCCGTGACCCAGGCTCCCCACGTTCTGGTTCGTCCCTTGTGACTCTCAGGTTTATATTTTATGTCATTTTCTACCAACTTTTGCACACAAAATAGGTGATACTAGAAAGTTTAATGATGAGAATCTCATTATGTGCACAGCTGGAAGTAGACTGTGGGTTTCCAGTTTCGGGAGATACTCTTCATCCTGTAGCAGTGACCTCGTTATTTCCGTGCTGGCTGATGGCATGCTTCTCCACATTTTTTTTTCCTTCTTCGGTTCTTCCTTTGCTTTTTCTGTAGCTTTCTGTTTCAGATGTCCCGCCTGACTAACTCTAAGACTAGATGGATAGACACAGATCATTCTCTGCACCCTCCGGGAAGCCTCTGATGGTTTGAGTGGCCATGCATCCCAGTTTGCTTCTAGCAGTCGTGGGCTTTCCCTGTTGACCTAGCATGATTCCTGCCAGCTTGCTGGTACAGTGACTACAGCACTGGGCTCTAGTGTGTCAGAGGTGATGAGGATGGCACAGGACAGGGCCAGGAACAGAGCCATTTTTATAGGGTCACTGTGAGTTATAGTCAACTTGACGGCACCTATCAACAACAGCCCCCCCTTTCCTGGTCAGAGTGCCCTGGTGTGGATGAGAGATGGCATGTTAATAACTTCAACAAAGGAAGGCTAAGCATCCCAAGCATAGCCAGAGTTGTGAGGATGGCACAGGACGAGGTGATGTTCCACTGTGTTGTCTGTGGGGTCACTCTGAGTCAGACACTTTTGCGGAATCTTCTAATACCCCCTCTCCTTTGAGGTCTAGCTACCTGAAGTTGAATTTTCTAGCTCAGTCTGTACACAGCTCATCTTCAGGCTTTAGCTTGGCAGCTAATCTTAAGTACTTGCCAGTCAATCCTGAGTATGTTCTTCCGGAGACTTTTGCTGGGGGCGTGGCCAGGAAACTGAAGAATGGAAAGGGGCTGAGAAGACCAAGCTGAAAACCTGGAGCCAGGGAAAGAGCGAAGACCTTCCATGACACTAGCAACTAGATAAGGAAAGGAATGTGTATGTGTCAGAAGCTAGAGGGGTGTGTGTGTGTGTGTATTTAAATTAGTGCAGAGTAGCTACCCAGAGGGGTTTCAGTTGACTAGTCAACTGAAACTAGTCAAGTCACAACTGGAATTGCACAGTTTTTTCATGGTGAGTATGCTGTTAAGAGACTTAGATGAGAGTGTTCCTCTCCCTTCCATGATAGCAGTTAATTCATTAAAGGCTGGCTGTTAAAAACCGACTCTCCATTAAGTCTGCTGAAGGGACTTGTGAAGTGTTACAGGTAGCCCGTGCGGTCAGCTGTAGAGCCACAGCAGCTCATCTTCAGCGTAGACCGACCCCGCAGGACCCTGAGTCACATTCGGACACACTGCTGTGAAGTACGCCAAGGGCAGATTCAGGGGACATGCAGAATTACAGCAACTAGCCAGGCCAGGGTGTCTCAGTTCTCCATGTTTATAACCACAGTGTTCTAGCTTGATACATAGAATTTTATACTTACATCAGAATTTTAAATTGAACCCGGAAAAGAGTTTTTGAAAAGAGATAATATTTTTATGATTTTCTTTTTTTTTATATTTAGTATTCTGATAGAAATAGACAAATTTCCACATTTTTTTCACATATTTTTCTGAAATCACCCACGTTTAAAAGTACCTTATTGACCATTTATTGGTTCAGTCTTTGAAAAATAGCAAAAACAAAACCTGGAACTCCTACTTTTCCAGTTTTTTTAATTCGCCAATTTAAAGTAACAAAGAGCCATCTTTGTGTGTCAAGAGATTGTGAACTCTGAATCCAATTCTTCTCCTTGTTCAGAGGTGAGAAGCAAGCTCTTTCGTGATTCAGGATCATTTGCCAAACCAGATCCTCTTCCCGTATTTCATTTGTCAAACCAGGAGGACAAACGCTTCGTCACCATGTTCTTTCAGTTCTTCCTCCCAAGTCTCCCTGGCGTCTGTCCACTTTTTCTGCACACCCACCACCCTTGTCTTGTCCAGGTCATGATCTTTCACTCCCCTCAGACTCCAGCAGCTAAAAAAAAAATGTTTCTAAAACATATGTCTGTGCTTAACACTCTCTAGAGAATGTTTGTTTAGGGTGATAAAAAAATATTTAGAAAAGTGTAAGTGGTAATGTTTACATAATGTGTTTGGTGTCAATTGAATTGTGTATGTGAAAATGGTTGAAATGGAAAATATCATATCTATACATATATATTTAACTAAAATAATTTTTAAAGAAGGAAAAAATCAATAGTGCCTTTTTTGTAATCTTTAATAAAAAACATTTTAACTCCTAAAAGGTTTTAAGATAAGATCCTCCAGACTCCTTCCTCGCACTTCTGCTCATCTCTTATCAGCTGCTCTCCCCGGTACACACACACCTACGTCAACACTGCACCCAGTTTTCGTCATTACTGGTGCTATGAGATGAAATCAGTTTAAGAATATTGGATTTCTATGTTATTCAGAGGTAGGAACTTGTCAGATATTTACCGCAGGAATGACTTAACAAGGAACTGAATTAGATAGGGCAGGGTCGGTGAGAAGAGGAAGCAAGGACACTTGTTTCTTGTATGTGTACACAATAAACATTGACTAATTGACCAGGGAGAACCCAGGGACATAGTCCTTAACTTAAGGAGCACATAGTGGATTAGAGAGACATTACCACCTGCATTGTCAGTATGCAGTTATTTTATTTTACTGGTTTGCTTGAGTGTTTATTTTTTCCAGTCATTAAAGGTAACTTTAGAGCATAATAAAAGACCATATGTATCTAATTCATTTTAAAAATTTAAATCCAAGTGTTAAAATTATGCCTGGTTTTCATTGTTTTTGGCCAAACATTCTTCGAAGCAGTATAGCACTGGTCTGTCCGTTAACTGTACAGAGGTAACTCGTGGTTACTGTGATGTTAAACATTGTGACACTGATGTGTCAAATGCAATAATGGTTACCCATGGTGGGTAGTGTTTGGTGGAGCTTCCTGATTAAAACAAGCTTGGAAGCAGGAGTGGCATCCACTTCCACAATATCTTGTCTCCGGAAACCCTACGAACCTGGAGAAACAATGAAAAGTTATACAAGCGTTCAGGTCTTTTGTTCATAGGGTTGCTATGAGTTGGCTATGACTCAACAGCACTTCACAACAACAATATAAACCCCATCAACAACAACAGTAACAAATATAAAACCTCGCTTTTCAACGTGGAAGAAAATGAAGCTTTGAAAACATTCTACTAAGAACAGATGTGCACACAGATAGAATCAATCTCACAGTGATGGGAAAGGAGGCAGAAGAGAGTAAAAATTCATTTTAAGAAAAACTATGTATAGAAAAATTCACTTAAAGTGTTTTTAAAAACTTAAGCATAAAAAAATTTACTTATATTTCTAAGTCTAGTAAAATTTAACAATTTCTAAAAAAGAAGATAAAACTTAATTAAATTTCTTTACATATCTAAAATATTTTCTTTTCTCTTTGAAATATTTGTCAAACAAAACTTTTGAAGTAAATCTATAATTGCTTTTCTTTAATAAAAATTTAAATTAAAATACAGTGAATCTTAAAAGTTATCTTTATCTTTTATATTATCTTTTCAGTTTAAGTCTTTATCAAAATTAATCAGGCATTTATTTTACATTGAACTAGCAAGGCTAATATATTAGTCTAAATGGTAAATTTTCTTAATTACTATAAATACTTTAAAAAGCTTATACACACATTGCTTCTAAACTTAAGGGGGGAAAAATATGAGTTTGACTTACTCTGTTTTTATACCTAGTGCTAAATCTTCCACAGTTTAAAGATAAACCAGTGAGAAAATACTTTGCCTCCTCCAGCAAAATGAGGAAGGAGGGTTACAGTCTTGGCGCCTTGAAGACTGCCTTTCTATTGATGGCAGCCATGGGACACACTCAGGCCCAGTTACAGTCTCTGCAATGAGAAGCCCACTCGTTTACAAGGGGATGGGTCTCAAGTTTGTAGGCACTTGTGTTCAGTTTATTCATGAACTAGTTTTTCTACCTGATTTAAAATTTATACCTTTTCACCAGGTTATAGCACCTTTCTTCACTACTTACTTTAATCTGTTGCCTTAAAACAAAATACTATATCATTTGTCTAGTTCTAAGGCTGACCCTTCACCCCCAAGTGTAATTCTTTGGTAACCTGTTTAACCTCTAGGGTCTGATTGGAAATGTTCCCTTTTATTTTATTTTATTATTCTTTGTGTGTGTGTACCATCAAATTGAATCTGACTGGTACAGGAGGAGATTGCCCCTCCTTCTCCAGCAGAGCATCTGGTGGATTTGAACTGCATACCTCTGGGATTGCAGTGCAGCTTCTTGCCACTAGGCCACCAGAGCTCCCTGGAAATGTTCCCTTTTAATGTTCTTCCTGCGTACGAGGGCTACAGCTCTTACAGATCCCATGGCTCCATGTAGATCTTGAGTCACAGTGTTAAAGTCATGCTCCTGACACAGGTATAAAACACCAATATGATAAACTTGATGGCATTTGTCAGTTGATTAATGACCAGCTTTTCCTGGGTCTCCCGACATGCAGCTCTCTCTGCTCCTCACCCAGCCGTTACCCAGTTGTGTTGGACACAATCCAGTACCATTGATGATCTAAAATCCTATTCTATTACATTCCAGTGTAGCATCATGAAAATGTCGGTATTTTACTGTGCTTTGTTTAGGCATTGTTCAAGAAGTAACTAAATCTCACTTTCTTGGAAATTAGCAGGATTATGCAGGATACCTATATAATAAATGTTTTTCTTTTCTTCCAGATCTTTGATGATGCATATAAATCCCAGCTCAGTTGTGTGGTTGTGGATGACATTGAGAGACTGCTTGGTGAGTTATAACTTGTGCCACTGTTCTGTCCTTACACATTATAGCTCATTCATTCCAGAAGGTTTTGAATGATTATGATCATTTACAAGGAGATCACCAGGCTTGTCTTCCAAGGCACCTCGGTAGATTCAGATTGCAAACCTTCTGTTCTGTAGTCAAGCACTTAGTGTTTGTGCTACCTAAGGACTCTTACCTCAGAGATTACAACAGGTAAAAAGACAAAGAAAAACAGTACTTTAGACTTCAGTGCAATAGGAATGCATTTCTTTGGTGGAATCCATAATCTGAAGTCACTGGTAATACTCATACAATAATGCATCATGACCGTAGCTCCATTATAAGCTGCTTCACGGTGATGGCGTGTGACTCACTTTGTCTTTCCCGCAGAGTGCCCTGCCCATAACAAGTAGTTAATAATGTTTGTTGGTGGTTATATTTGCTGTTTAGTACCTCTTGGCTACCTTAGCTGGAAAAGTTCCTCTTTTGACCTTTGAACTAATAAAAGAAGGTTTAGGATTGGAGAGAAGTCCACAGACTGGCTGTAACACTTAGGGCAGAATTTTAAGCTCTCTGTAAGTCAGTTTCTACTCTTATAAAACAGATGCTAAAATCCCTTCCTTCCGTATCCTATAGAATAATGGTGAAGACATGGAATAACAAATGTTGAGAACATTCTGAAAGTTAAAAAGCACACTATAGTTATTTCAAATAGATTTATGAAGCATCTCCAGTGTTTAATTTAGGGAGCTTTGGTGGTGCAGTGGTTAAGTGTTTGGCTGCCACCGAAAGTTGAGTGATTCGAACCCACCATCCACTTTACAGGAGAGTTAAGGCAGTCCGCTTCCATAAGAAGACAGTCTTGGAAACTCTGGAGAGCAGTTCTGCTCTGTCCTGCGCAGTCACTGTGCACGGGAATCATTGATGGCAAAGGATATTTAACTACACTCCTAGAGAAGAAGACGTAATCTCTGTACTCAGTCAACTCATGAGTAAACTTAAAATAATTAGCAGAAAATTGTAATAATCTTACATTTTATTTCCGTGTAAAAGTATAATAAAATGGAATAAATTTATTCTAGCACTGACCCAGAGTATTGTAAGTCCCATCAAAATAGAAACCCACCCAGTAATTAGTAAATGTCTAAAAAGACTAGCACATGCTTTTCATCCCCTTTTACTTAAGCTGTCCATGGTGACACAGTAATGACTTCAAGTTAACCCCTCCTAACGGGTTGTTCCCCTGATTTTCAGACTTGGCTCAAGTCTTCTACTAAAGCTACCTGTTTGTTCTTCTAAGTTTTGGCAATGTTTATTATAAATTAGTCGTTTTATCTCGTGACCTTGGATTTTTGGTCTGTTTTTTCTGATACATCTCAACCCAGTTTACAGGATGATTTTTCTTAAAATGGTTTTCAGCACATACTCATAGCTCAGAGTACATTCCTTTATCGAAGCACAGTTGAGATGTGTGGTCATAGCAACACGATTGTGTCAGGAATGTGTGCCCTTTGAGTTTATTTTCACATGTATGAATAGTTAGTATCTGTGCTTGTTTGTTCATTCACTCAACAAGCATTTGCTGAGCTCTTACCACTGTGTTAGGATTATTAGAGTCACAGCAAAATAAATACAATACTAGCTGTCCATTGTAACTTATATTGAAAAAAATGAATTCAAGGGAGAATGTGCCATAGATTCTGCATATTCCAAAAGGGCCTGTGCTTATAGGTAACTATAAGCACAGGGCAAGGGCACACATGTAAAATGCAAAGAAAGCTACAGAGATACTATTTGTGCTGAATCTTGAAAAGTTGTTAGAAGTTAAATTATAAAAAGTTATCAACAAGTCCTGGCTGCACAGCAGTTAGGCCCCCGGGTGGTGCAGTGAGCCAGAAGAACCCCTGCCCAGACCACCACCATGGTCCTGGGGGTGATGGCCTAGTTGAAGGGCCCCTGGGAGTTTATGCCCAAGCCTTTCCCTCTACTCTTTCCCACGTGGCACTGGGGTTTCTCTGGTGGTGGTAAAGATAAGCATGACCTCAGCTCTTTTCAGAGGCATCCTGACTGTAATGCCCAGTTGGCAAGAGACCCCAGTCAAGTGGTCAGAACTATCTCATGCAGCTTTTGGGGAACCAAAAACCAGCATTAAATAAAGCTGAATGACTGGGGGGGAAAAAGTTCTCAACATCACTCTCCCATCACTACAGATACATTGAAATGCCTTACTTATGTTTTCTTATCATTTTCTCCTCCACTAATTTTTTAGCCTCATGTTTTTTTATTGCCTCTGTACCATATTACCATGGTTTGCAGAAATATCTTAGAAATGCACCTATTATTGTTTTACCTATAAAGATAACAGTTTCTGAAAGCCAAAAGTAATTCCAAGAGTCCATAATGAATATTTAGAAAATTTCTCAAAAGTTGTACAGGTGAAGATTTTATATTTTAAACATTGAAATTGCTTGAGGTGGTTTTATTTCATTTTATAGATTGTCACAGGACTGTTATATAGGACTGTACTTATGCTTAATACAGAGAATTTTGAATACTAAGAATATGTACTTAAATATCTCAAATTTCTAAACACAATATTCTTTTCCAGATTATGTTCCTATTGGCCCTCGATTCTCTAATCTCGTGTTACAGGCTCTTCTTGTATTATTGAAAAAGGCACCTCCTCAGGTAAAAATAATGATGATAAAGTAATAGAGACATTTTCACAGTTTTTCAGTAAATTCCATACAATTGTGGACTCTCTCTAAATAAGCAACCTGTTATAAACATATACGATTCTTTTGTTAAAGTCTTTTCAAAAGTTGCCTGTTGGTGTTTTGATTTATATTTAAATTCTTTTATAAGTTTCCCACCCTATTAGTTAGCCCCAACCCCTTTCATCTCTCCTGAGAGTCTAGGATATTAAGGTAGAAGTTACTATATGCATGTTCTCATTTGTTTCATCTGTCATTTCATAGAAAATTTCTAATTGGGGGAAATTTGCATTTACTTCCTATAGGCAGTTTTTGTGGGGATTTTTTTCCATTTTACAAATAAGTTTATATTACTTCTCTTATGCCATGTGGAGCTTTTGAAGAGTGTGTTTATAGTCAGGATTTTGGTTCATGTGTTTGCATACTTTACTGATAAGCTATTGATTTTGATAGCTTAACAAATTTAAAACCAACTTGTGGAGGTCGGTTAATTGTGCAGAGGCTGCCAGAGCCTGTTTGACTCTGTCACAGACTCAGACTCTCTGGACTAACTCTGTGTTCTGGAACAACAAAGAAATGTCAGCCAAAAGCAGGTACAGAGAGGCATTAAGAGCTAATTGAAAACGATCTTAATGGCTGCATTACTTAAAGTTAGCAGTATAGACTCAGCTGCATGTAAAGTATTTGGTATTAAGCTGAAGGATCTAATTTTTCATTTCACAGCTTAAATTATATGTACATGCATTTTAAAGTGAAAAAGTAAAGGGTTTATTTTTATTTTCTAGTTTATTTTTTCCTCATATTTTTAGAGTGGTGAAAAGAAATATGGCCTGCAATAGCCTTGACCTTTTACTCTGTGTCTGCACTGAGGAAGGCTTTGTTAATCATCCTTCTATATACTACCACTCTCAAAAATTGGAATCTTAACTTACACCGAGGCTGAAGTTGTAATAAATACTGATTCTTTTAATATTTTTAAATATACTTAAAGTTACTGGACTATAAATACTTTTCTCTCCTCCATCAGTATTTATCTCAGGCTAAGACACTGAACTTCTTGTGCTTTTTAGTAAGTAAAATTAGCATTGAAAAGTTATCAGAATGAAATAGTTTTTGCAGATATTCAAATTTACTTAGTTATTGTATTGTTGTTATGTATCATCAAGATGAAATCAACTCATAGCTGACCCTCTAGCAGGTTTTCAGAGGCCGGAAACTGAACGGGAGAAGACTGCCCATCTTCCTCCCATGGAGCGGCTGGTAGAGTTGAACCATGGACCTTTAGGTTAGCAGCACAACTCCTTACCACTGAGCCAGTAGAGCTCCCTTTATTTCTTAAAGTGCTCCATTTTTTTAGTTAAATTTATGCAAAAAGTTGTTTGGAGGGAAGAAAATTAAGTTTTCGATAGTGGTTTTTTAAATTGCTTGTCCTTTCCATTGCTAAATACCATACAGATCAATTTAAACAGAGATAAATCCCCTGACTTAAGAATTCTTTGAAGGGAGCTCTGGTGGCCTAGTGGCAAGAAGCTGCACTGCAATATTGAATGTGCGCGGTTCAAATCCACCAGATGCTTTGCTGGAGAAGGAAGGGAAATATCCTCCTGTGCCGGTTGGATCCGATTCAATGGTACACAACAGGAAAGTTTTTTTTTAAAAAAAAAAGAATTATTTGAAGTCTCAGGTGGCGTTGTGGCAAGAAGCTGCACTGCAATCCTAGAGGCATGCTGTTCAAATCCACCAGATGCTCTGCTGGAAAAGGAGGGACAATCTCCTCCTGTACCAGTCAGATCCAATTTGATGGTACACACACAAAAAATAATAAAAAATTAAAAATAAATTTTAAAAAATAATTCTTTGAAGTCTATAGACACTAATGTGGAAGAAGGATGGGCAATCTCCTCTCATGGTAATTAACCGCCTCTGAAAAGCCACTGGAGGGTCAGCTATGGGTCGGTTCTGACGCTACAACAACATAGACACTACCAGAACCTATTAACAAATGAACTCTTTATCTAAAGACTTACTAAGAACAGCTCTCTCTCTATAAACAATATCTTGAGACTCACAGGAGTTTATGCAGAGGTGCTTGATGAACAACTTGTTCAACGAATAATTTTTTCTCATTTTTTATTACTTTTTATTGTAATTTGAGTGAAAATTGAGAAGGAACATTAGTTTTTCATTCAATAGTTCGTACCCTTGCTGTTTGGTAACATTTAGTACAGTCCCCACCTTGTAATAGTGCTTCTCCCCCCTTTATTTCCTGTTTCAGTTCATCCTTCTTTCTTGTCCTCTTCTGCCTTCTGAGCTTCATCCTTGGGCAAACACTGCCCTTTGATCCTGTACGGGTGATTGTTCGAAGGAGCTCATTCCTCTTTGTTGTTGTTCTTTATCACCTACTGTTTGGCTGAAAGTTGAGTCACAGGGTAGATGGCAGTTCCAGACTTGAAGGGTGACTGAGATGCATAATTTCAAGGGTGTTAGAGTCCCTGAAGTTTATCTTTTTCGACAAGGTATAGTTTGAGAGAGAACACAAAAAACAAGTAGTATTTAGATAACTGCTAAACACGTGAAAAGATACTCAACATTGGCCATCAAGGAAATGCAAGTCAAAACCATTTTAATGCCTTACTACTTCAGGCTCGCTATGATGGCTAGAATAAAAAGAAGTGTTGGCAAGCACAGGGAGAGAGAGGAATTTTCATACAGTGCCGATAGGAGTGTAAAATAGTGTATCTACTTTGGAAAACAGTCTGGCAATTCCTCAAAAGGGTTGATCTTAGAGACACCATATGAAACAGCAGTTCTACTGTTAAGTATATACGTAAAGGAAATGAAAACATATATTCACACAAATGCGTATACACGTATGTCCCAAGAAGCATCATTATTCCTAATAGCCACCAAAGGAAAACAACTGAAATGTTTACCAACTGATTAAGGGGTAAATAAAAAGGGGTGTATTGGTGTTATGGGCATACAATGAAATATTATTATTCAGTCATAAAAATGACTCTGAATTCTTGCTGTGTGTACTACAACGTGGACAGACCTTGAAAACATGCTAAGAAAAAGAAGTTAATCACAAAGGACCACGTATTGTATGATTCCAGTTACATGAGAAGTGCAGAATGGAGACATCAATAGAGACAGAAAGAAGATTACTAGTTGCTAGAGTTTGGGGAAAAGATGAGGAAGATGGGGGTGACTGGTAGGGGTTTCCTTTTGATGATGAGAATGTTCTAAAATTAACCATCATCAGAGTTAGGTCTAAAGCTATGCTAAAAACCATGGACTTACACACTAAGTGGGTGAATTGTGTGATATATATTAATTATATCTCAATGAAGTGTTTACCAAAAAAAGTGGCTTCAAAAGCCACTTAATGATGAAAGGAGAATTCTAGAGAAAGCTATAAATAAGAGATGAACATTCTTGGTACACACACAGCTTAGGAGAAATCTCAGAAACTGCAGTTGTATCATTACAACTGCAATTGTAATCATTACAATTAAATCATTATAATTATGAGTGATTTTCTCTAAAGCCCGAAGAGGATATAGGGGCATATCGGAAGTAAAAGGCCTGGTTACCTTCATTATCACAAGTGGCAGGAAAGCTCTTCAAAGACTATGAACCTGACCTTTATTTGGTGACTCTGACCCGGACTGTTGTACATGTGAATCAGTGATGGGTAAACATAATGTTTATAGCATTCTTAGTTGGGTATATTTTACAAAATAAAAATTCACTTTTTCTGAAGGAGTAAACAATAGTCAGTGTACCAGAAGGAATTGGCTGACACAGAAGAATTTCATGAAATAACGTATAAGCAAGAACCTGTGGTGATAAAGGAGGAAGTTCAAGTTGCTCTGAAGGAATTGGCAAAAAACAAGGCTCCAGGAGTTGACGGCATACCAATTGACATATTTCAGCAAACAGATGCTGCCCTGGATGTGCTCACTAAGTTGTGCCCAGAAATCTGGAGGACAGCCAGCTGACCAACTGACTGGAAGAGATCGATATTTGTTCCCATTCCAAAGATAGATGACCCAACAGAGTGCAGAAATTATCAACAATATCTTCCCATTCCAGAGAAAGATGACCCAACAGAGTGCGGAAATTATCAAACAATATCAGTACCACATGCAAGCAAGATTCTCCTGAAAATTATCCAAAAGCAGCATGTCAACAGAGAACTGCCAGATGTGCAGGCTGGGTTTAGAAGAGGTAGTGCTACTAGTGATATTATAGCTAATGTTAGATGAATGTTGGCAGAAAACAGACAGTACTAGAGGAATATCTGTCTGTGCTTCATTGCCTATGCAAAAGCTTTTGACTGTGTGGATCACAACAAACTGTGGCTGACTCTGAGAAGACTGGGAATCCCAGAACATTTGATTGTGTTAATGCGAAACCTATACTTGGACCAAGAGGCAATCTTCAGAACAGAGCATGGTTCAAAATTGGGAAGGGGGTCTGCCAGGGATGTATTCTGTCTCCATACCTTTTCAATCTGTATGCAGAACAGATCATCCAGGACCCTGGGCTGTATGAGGAGGAATGTGGCATCAGGATTGATGGAAGATTCATCAACAACCTGCATTATACAGATGATACAACCCTGCTTGCTGAAACTGAGGAGGACCTGAAGTGCTTGATGCAGAAGGCCAAGGACTGCAGCCTTTAATACTGATTAAAGCTCAACATCAAGAAAGCAAAGATTCTCACCACTGAGCCAATTGACAGCATCATAGAGGATGGTGAAGAGATTGAGATAGTTAACAGTTTTAGTTTGCTTGGCTCCACAGTCAACACTCTTGGTAACAGCAGCCAGAAAATCAAGAGACAAATTGCATTGAGAAAGTCAGCTGCCGGAGACCACTCCAGAGTACTGAAGAGCAGCGACATCAGGCTGGAGACTAAGGGGCACCTGATTCGGGCTATAATCTTAGCAGTTGTGTGCTGTGC